GAGATTTCACCATCCTAAAAGCTTATCTGTCAGCATCAGTGAGTTATTCCAGTAAAAGGGTATCATCAACAGCAGCAGGAGAAAAAAAAAAGGACGAAAAAAGACAGGTCTGAAGGTTTTTTATTCCCAGCTGTCTGCAGCCGACCTTGAGTCCGTCTCCCACTGCCGGCCGGCAGCGGTGCCGGGGCTGGGCGGCCACAGCAGCCCCGCTGTCACCGAGGCGCCACAGCAGCCCCGCTGTCACCGAGGAGCCGGCTGGAGAGGGATGGCAAAAGAGAAAAGCGCACGGGTCTGGTTCTTTCTTCCTTTCCTTTGGTGTAGCATAAGTTGGTATTTTTCCCAATTTCCACAGTTTGCACCCAAATAGTGCAGTGTGGACAGGAGAGGGCAGAAAAAAGGGGAGAGGGAGGGATGGATGGATGGATGGATGCTCCTCCTGATGTTGCGGGAACCTCATCTTCTTCGTACCTGGAAAGAAATGCCCACGTGGAAAAGGCTCCAGCCCGGTGGAGCCAGGAGCTGCAGGGGCTCTTGTTCTGAATAGCAAACCAGAAAACAAATTCACCCTGTGCAGGAAACGGGTTTTGACGTGCTGCTGGCTACATTTGCGCGGCTCCCTGTCCAAGGAGGTGGGTTGACAGATGCATTAAGTGGCTTTCACCCTGGTACATGCCCGCCGTGCCGCATTTCGTTTACTTTGGATATCCAGTGGCAGAGTGGATCATAAAAAAAGTTGTATAAACATGCACGAGGTATTTGTTCCGCGCGCAGAAGCAAACAAAAGATTTGATGAGATGGATTGAGAGCCCGAGGGCAGCGTCGAGCAAGGGGAGTCAGAGGGAAATCACACAAGCGCTATCCTGTCCCGCTGCCCTGTTTCCTTGCAGAGGAGAATTCCCGGTCCCAGTTGCCGGTGACCCTCAGGAGCGAGGCTGCGTGCGAGAGGGGCGAGGAGGCCGTGGGTAAAGCGAGCAGGGAGCCGGCGTGGGATTGGAGAGGGAGGTGGCTGCAGCTCCAAGCTGTGCTGAAAAGCTTTTGGAGGATTTGGAGCAAGTCGACAACTGTTCTGGTTTTGTGGGGAGGGTTGTGTTTTTGTGTTTTGGGGTTTTTTTGCCAGATATAAATAATTGGAGCTTGATAGAGCGTGGGGAAAAATGTTGGCTTATTGTTGAGAACGGGAAGCACAAAATATTTCCAAACATGGCGGGTTATTTATCGATAAAACGCCTCTGCTGGGCCGGCAGCGGGTGCTGGCAGTAGCGTAGCTCGGGGGGTGCCTGTGCTACCTCTGCGGAGGAACCCAGGGTCTCTGCCGCTTGTTTTGGGGGCTCGGGACTGTTTTCCATGGTGGAGCTGTGGGATAACGCTTCTGCTGCACCTCACGGTGGTGCTGAGGGCGAGAGGGTCTGACCGGAGCAGTTGCACGTTCAGGGCTTCGACACCTGGACAGAATAAGTGACGCAGTTTTTAAACTCGCTTTCGAATTGTACTGGTAATCCGTGGTTACGTTATTAATGTCGTATTAAAAGGGCTCGAGGCCTCTCAGCAAATTCCTATTTCAAATAAACAATTACTGGAGCCAAGGTAATTTATTAAGTGGGATTGAAAAACCCAGGCACGGTCTGTATTCGCTCCTCAGAGCTCGCCTTCGCTTTGGCTGGAATCCCCGGCAGCCAGCGCAGGTGGCGATGGGACAGCCCGGGAGCGTCCCTCGGTGCTGAGCAGCAGCGTGGTGCTGCACCCTGTCTGGGGGTCATTCAGGAGCGGGGCCGTTTCAATCGGTGGGTCGTTTGTCACAAAGCGCCTTGGTTAGGTAAATAAGCAAGCGCAAAAGGCTGCTTTAGCATTCGAAACCTCCGCCGCCGCGAGCGCGATGGTGGTCGAGCTTTTGGAGCATCACGCGTGGGAACAACGACTCAAGCGAACGCTCCTGGACGAGGGGACGGCGCGAAGCTGTGGCGGCGGGAAAAGACGGCGCGAAGCTGTGGCGTCGGCTGCACCCTTTCCCCCTCCCTGTCACTTGTGCGGGAGGGACGGCTCCGTTCCCAGCACGACAAAACTCCTCCTTTGGTGGGTTTTATCTGTGCTTTGCCGAGGCGCGTGACAAATTCGTACTAAATCGGAACCTCAAACGATGCCAGTGCATAAAAACAGGAAAGCTATTGCATAATACAGGAAAACGAGATGAAAATCCTTCGCACGGCACAGTTACTTCAGAAGCAAGAATAAACAATATTTAAAAATGTATAAACACAGATGGCATATTTTTCTTAAAAAAAATGTTTCGAGAAAAATAAAAGCCTCTTTAAAAGGAATAAAATATGAAAAGGAGGAGAAGTAGGTCAGAAAGAAGAAGTCAAAGGAAGGGGAGAAAACTAACAAAATGGAAATCAAAGACAAAACTGGTTCTGCCGGCATGACAGTGAGCCGGGTGTCTTTGGGTCCAGTTGGGGCGGCCGGGGCTGCAAAGGCAGCGGGATGGTGGGGATGCCCAGGGCCTCGGTACCAGCACACGGTGGATAAAGAAAGCAGATTTCTCTGATTGAGCCACCTGCTTACCCGGGAACGGGTGGCAGAGGAGAGAGGCGTTGGAGAGACTCGTTTACTTGCACCATTAACCATTTTAACGGCCTCTCTCCCATAACAATTGTTGCCATGGGTAGAAGAGCAGGTGTTTGAATAATAAGAGCGATTCGGAAGCCTCGGATGGTCATTATTATTAACACCCATCATAAAAACGAACCAGGGAGACGTACGCCCCGTGTGCTCTTTTGTACGCTTACTTTATGGACTGATCACTCTCTTTCCGGGGCGTCTCACGGGGGAGGCCAGACGCCGGCTGTGAAGGGGCGGCATTAGAAGCCTCCGTGCCCACGGTGCAGGCACAGCCCCGCGGGGAAGAAAAAATGGGTTGGTTTTGTCCCGCTTGTTTTCCGTTCGCGCCATGCAGCCTGGGTCAACGGTGTGAGTCTCCTCGTGCGTCGCTGCGTTTCGCTCTCGCAAAGGAAATGATAAATTCACAAATTCACCTGTCCCCGAGGGGAGGCTGAAGGGGTTCCTGCAAGAGGAGCTTTAGGTCACGGCCGTTATCGGACTCTGCAGCGTTAAACGGTGCCGGAGGATGAGTAACTCTCTCTGCCCGAGGACTGGGAGGGTGAAACGCCCTGACCTGTGTTCGGCCGTGGAACACAGGAGACTGTTGCGGTGGCCTCTCAGCCCCAGCGGCTATAAATATTTGCTCTCCTTGTAATTATTTCTGTGACTGCTTGCGCTCAGGTTCTGTGAAGCGAACTTTGCTGCCGCTGAGCCCGTGTGGGTTTTTTGGGGGTGAGGGGTGGCAGGGCGGCACGGACCCTGATGTATCGACACTTCCCATGGCACCATGTCCTCTTGGGGACCTTGGTGTCATCTCACCCTCAGGCTTTGCAAGAGAAAACGGAAGCGGTGGCTCTAAAGCTGTAGTAAAGTGGCAGAAATTGTTGAGGTTTGTGGTTTTCTATTAGGAAATCAAGCAAATAAGCAGGTGGAGGAATGGCCAGCTCTGGAAAACTGCGAAGCGTAGCTGCGAGTCCTCCCGCGCTCACTCTGTACGCGGAGGTTTCGGTCTAATCTGCACCAACACGTGTTCTCACGTGCGGATGAACCCCTCGCCAGCCGATCTGATGATTTTGCCACCTGCACGGCAGATACGGGTGGTGCTACCAGCAGGTTTGCAACATACGAAGGGGCTTTTTTCTATGCAGATGGCTCAAGACACGATCTTCTCGAGCGCCAATATGTAAAACATACGTCGCTTACCCGGTCCGAGCAGAAAAGCAACAGGTTTTCACTGTGTGGGAAGGTGGCTGCGCGCGGACTGTGGGATCTCCAAGGCTCATTTGCTTATCGCTGCTGAGTCTTCGAATAGGATCCACCTGGCACGGCAGAGCTGCAGAAAGCTGCGCTGATGCCAGTCACGGGAGGAAAGGCCTGTGTCCCCTCAGGGACAGGTTGCAACCCTCACGGCACCTGTGTGTAGGAAGGCGTTTGGTAACAGGTGACAAACCTCCCAAATGCCAGTCGTGGCCGGTTTCACACCCCAGAAGCCACGGAGCCTCTCTCTCTGGGAATCCACGC